TATGCGGTAAGCAACCCTTTTTATCGTGACTTTTTCACTTACATTTTGTAAACATAAAGATAGGTCAAACTGAAATTTTCATTCGGGCACTGACCTCGATTATGATCCTTAAGTCGCGTGCAATATCAAAGCAGTATCTATTTCCTAAAAATCCCTAAAAATTTCAAAACTTCCTTTATTTTCTTCATTTTTAATAGAAAAATATGCGAAATAATTATATTTTTTTTTGTAAAGAAAAGAAAATTGCAATTTTTCCCCGATAAATTTGTGAAATCTCATTCCTTTAATTGACAGTTGAGCTTGTTTAAAAAGTTGGATACAGAGGGACGTTTTGTCAGTTTGTTCTCTCTCCCAGGATGGAAAAAAGTTTGTGTGGCACATTAATTAAAATTTTTTTTCACGAGAACAACAAAAAAGACGACGACGACGACGTCGGTGTTCCAAGTTGTCAACTCCGACAGTCAGGAACGCGTTGAGACATGTTTCACGCCTCAGGCATACCACAAACCTATACGCACCTCACTCTCTCTCTCTCTATCTGCTCAATCCCGTTGTTATTATTATGTAAATAATTAACTTTATTCAATTTTCTCTATAGTTATGATAATCCATCATCAGAGTCTGGTTTGGTTAATATATATATATATATATACAAGTGACAGAGGGAATAAAGGCTCTTGATGCTCCACTAGATGTAAACTGGCGCAAATCAAATTACAGTCGGGGATGGAACTTGCGACTTTGGTTCCTACTTGTCGCGAATTGAGGAGTAACATTTGCACCTCAATTTCTCTTTGAGTCCAAGTGTTGTGGTTAATCCTTGAAACTACTATAACTACACTGCGTCAATTCAATGCTTTATAACAAAAGACAAAATTTTCCAAAAGAAAGATTAATAAAATTGGAACTAGTTTATAAAAAAAAGAAAACTTTCTTATTTTTATAAAAATCGAAAAATTTAGTAGAAGTTAGCAATCAGTTTGGATGAAAAGATAAATCTGACATCAGTCTGGAATAGTATGAAATTAATATGAAATAAATCCGCAATTAGCCCAGCAACAATTTAATTTTAGTTAGATCAAAAAAAAATTCTTAGGCGAAATTCCTAGCTATATGATTTCGTTTTATTTAACTTACAAGTGTTTCTCAAAATAAATAACTAAAGAAAAAATATTTTTATTTATATCCGCTATGGTGATTAAGTGATTCTCCTGTTTCAATTACAGAGCAGAAGGCTAGGGGTACAGGTAAGAAAGAGAAATTATTTCAAATGTTAACGTTACACTTTATTTATGACAAACAATTTAGAGTAAAAATTGTTCTTTTAAGAGAGAGAATCTCGAAGCAACCAATCCATGGAAAAAGAGTTCAGCATTCCACTGTAACAAGGATAATGCAAGGGTTACTACAGATTTATGAGAAGTGTAGGAAAAGTTGGGGGTGAAAATATAAAACACTTACCTTTTAAATTAGTAGTAAGATATATGAATAGAACCACTGTGGTGTCTTCTGTTATGGCAGGAAAAAAGGCTGGTACCAGTCAACCTCAGGAAGGTTGACGGGCCCAGGTAATTACCGCAGATCCGGAGTTCGAATTGCCGTGACTAAGACCCAACAATGAGATTCCACCACAAAAAGGAAGGATAGATATTTTCTAAATATATGGAAAGAACAGGTCCTTGAATAGATGAGTACTCCTTTTGTTGAGGTTTATAACACTTGACTAGAATTCACTCGTAAAATGAACTTGTATAGAAATCGTCCAAGTAACTAGATTTCGTATATATAAGAACGATGAACTGGCACCAAATATCCAAATATGAAGTAGAAGTAACGTGTATGATATAAAGTTTTGAACTGAACTCTCCGTAAAAATGTAGCCTTTTTATATCAAGTTTTCATAAGAGGACACTCGTTTATGTCCTTTTAAGGAAATACTGAGTTTCTCGCTTCTAATTATATATTTTTAGAAATACAATATATGAACGTAGAACGATACAAAAAAAGGGGTCAAAAAACTGAATCCGACATAAATTTTTTTTTTTATTGTCAAATTACAGTTTTTGTGAATTTTTTGGTAACCTACTAGTAAAATTGAAAGAGGTATTTAAGTAACCCATACACATCTTTTAAAGTTTTTTTTTCCCAAAAAAAACTTTTGCGTTTTTGTTTGCCCTGACTCACAAACTCTTAAGAACACTTTAAGCCAAGGTTGATGTGAAAACTCGGAAAATTGACCAAGTTACACCAATCTGCAAGAATGAGGGCAGTAAGTAAGCAGTTTCTTTTGCCGATTTTCTTTAGAACTACGACTTTTTCTAATTGACGTGCAACGTATTTCAAAAATGCAAGTTAAACTTTATGGTACGTCAAATTTTTTCCCCACCTTTTTTTTCGTTACATATATCATTTTTTTCAATTAGATTTAGGCACGGTTTTTATATTGAAAAAAATTTATTGAACATTGATAATAATTCAGATTGACAAAAAAAACCAGAAACTTTATTTAATATTGAAAATCAATTTTTAATTCACAACAATTGTGAGATGGAATTAAATTGAATCATTTTACAATGTGTTAGCATAATTTTTCGACACACCAAGGGATGCAAAATCCAATTAGCAAATTGGAAACTCAATTAAAATTAGACTCAATTGAATAACAGTAATAACTCAAAATGATAGGAATAACTTGTTACAAATGTAATTATATATATAATTAGGATTTGGGAAATCATTTTTTTTTAGTATTAATCTTCAAACAGTTCTTTTTCTTGTAGAGCCTTATTTTTTTTGTTCCTTCCTTTTGTAAACACTCAGGGGGGTGATAAGATGAAAGCCTAATAGAGAGAGAGTATATAGGAAGCATCAACGCTATACCAATTTACGTGTTTACATTGTTGTCGATCGCCGCCATTATCCAATACAAACTGTCAAGTACTCAAATGTTACGGGTCATAATAGAGAGCAGATAATAAAGTCTACAGATTCTCGTTTTCACACTCATCCTTTCTGTTTGCCTCTATTCAATATACAAAATGCTTGTGAAAAATCCGAGCTTTTGAAAAAAATAACTATTTCTTTAAAAGAAATAAAATCAAATACAATATCTAAGGATCTCAAATTAGATTTTTTAAAACATTAATAATTTTCTAATTTAAGTTGTCCTCTAATTGTAATTAAAAGACGCTGTGTCTAGATTTCCTTTGTAACCGTATCCTTCGTAAAGAGGAAATATTAATTTTATTAATATTCTCTTGTGTCACACTTTTATCCTCTCTTAAATAAATCTCTTGAAAATTGTAATCAGTAAAATTACAATTGTTTGGAATTCTCCATATCCTGAGGGAAGAGCAATAAATGGGTCTTTAACCCCTTTGATAATAATTGCAGTAAATAATAAAACAGTTTTCCCAAAACTGGGTAAAGTGGTTGACGGGACATACAGGAAATTTATTGATGTAGGTCCGGAGTTTAAAGCCTCGATGTAAATACAGAATTTCAAACATAAAATGTTGATTTCACGCAAAATAATAGTTTCAAAGGTAATAGGCGCTCATTTTTTGATGAATTAGGTGACTTTTCTTTGAAACGTCTAAGTCTAATGAAGATAAAAACTGAAGACAAAGTTTCTAGCTTAATGTTATATATGATTAAAACTTTCGATGAAGATTTAGCTTATTCTAATCATCAAGACCGACTGGAAATTCAGATAATTGAATAGATAATACCGTATTAGGCGAATTTAACTTTTATGTACTGATTGTAAATGGTGAAGTTCTGTTTATTTTTATCAAGTTAATAATTAATAGTCAATTTTGAAATAATTAAAATAATAATTAAGAGGAAGATAAAATTGACTCGCAAAGAATGATTTGTTTTCATACAATTTTCAAACAAGTTGTAAAAAATAACTATAGTGATATATAGTAATAATGTTTACTCAACATTTCATGAGTATAGTAAATTTAACTCTATATGCAGGTTAATAGAAAGTAGTTAAAGGGACTATGTATTTAATTAGTTTAACCATTTTGTGTGTAGTTTAAATTTTACTACTTTTATATAGTTAACGAGCAGTAGTTAAATTTACATAAATACATAGTTAAATGGAAAACAACATATGAGTTGTAGGAATAGACTAACAATAAAATTTATGTATAGTAGATTTTTACTACTCTATATATGTTATTCGATAGACTTTCAACACGACCATTTTATTTATGAAGAGTTAACTATTAGTTTTGTAGTAGATTTTTACTACTTTTTGGAATACAAATACTGTTAAATGAACCTAATTCGTTGATTGTAAGATTTAGACAAGCTTTTGCGATGATTTTTAATACTATATAATGATTTCAATTAAACTTTACTTTAATGAATTTTGTATGCTAAAAAAAATCTGAGGACTGATTAATTCCGGATTCACTGGTTAATAACATATCGGGAAAATTTCGGAGTTAGCTGAACTGATTCCGGATGACAAAAACCGGACCCGACCTTTCGATTTGTGTAATAGATTTTTAGTGGACAGTTTTAATAAATTCAAATTATTTATTTCGTTGTATTGCTTTAGCAATAAACCTCCGTTAATTTGTTACCTGATTTAATTTTTAATTAGAAGTAATTGTAAATGAAATTAAATAAAAATAAATCTATTGGTATACGACTTCTGATGGTTTTATTACAATCAAGTTAAATTGATTCTTATGTCGCTGCAAATACACCCCGTTACAACAAATTAAGTAATAAATAATTCTCCCAAGATCAAAATCTTCTACATATAATCTAATTCGAAATTAGTAGATCTTCTAAACGTCGTCAGTACGTGACTAAACTTCCAAACGAGTTTAATATAATAAAATAATCGACTAAGATTATCTTATATCATTAAATACTTCAATTAGAACATATAATTGTTAATAATAATTGTTAATTACTACATAATGTTCACAGATTAGAATAAAGAATAATGGGAAAATTATTTTTTTTTGTTACAGAAGCTGACTATACATTGGACGATTCCTTTTGGAATGAGGAATCTCCTTCTGGTGAGTGATATTTCTTTTGGGTTGTAAAATTTTTTTTTTCTTTTGCCACAAAATGCATAACAATTGGGGATTATATGGTGAAAAACCATAACAGTTTATTGCTTCTTTATTTGCTCGTTGCGCGTAGTTCGTGCCATAATCCCATTAAGCGTCAAGTTTCTACGAGCATGCGAGGGGAGAGATTGTGGCAAGTTTCATCGCTATCATGCGATCCAGGAATTTCACTGAGATTCTCCATAAAGCAGACGTCTTCTGGCGAACGAGAAGGAGAGAAAGATTCATGTCTAGGAATATAGTCGATTTCTTGTTTTCTTTTCTGTTTTTTTTTTTATATATACTTTCTGGAAAATCTAGACATCGCTCTTTATCTCCAACCATTTGTCTCGTCTACAAATCTCTAAAAAAAATAGCACCGGATGAAATAATCATTTATAAAACAATGATTTATGATATCGATGTAAAAATTATTAGAAATATTTAATGAATTCTAAGGTAAATTCATTTCGATATCATATTTAATTTGGTATATTTATTTGTAATTAAAAACTTCATAGGCGAAATTCTGAGCTATATATTAATATCGATGTTGAGGAAAATTATTTAAAATATTTAATGAATTCTATAAAGTAAATTGATTTGGATAATGTCAATATCATAATTATTTATTTTTTCCCTTTTCTTCAGCGATCAATTCCATTCCCAAGAAAAGTCGCCTCTCTCAATATTCAGATTCAAATTTTTTTTTTTAAAAAATACTTTCACGTAAAGCTTGTCAGCCGTTGAGTTTTGTCTTCTTAATGAAGCTCTCGTTAATTCCATTTTCAGTCGACAAATTGAATTTCTCAAGACACTTGTGAGAATTCCTGCCCAGTTTTCTTTCCGCTTGAACAACACGACAACTTTCCTGGGAGTAATTTTGTTTTTCGGTCCTTAATGTCAGCGAAGGAATGAGAAGTCAGGGTTCTGAAATTCTTTATATCCAGAGGGAAATGATGATTTTACTTTGGGATCGATGACAACTTTTTTTCTTTTCCACTCTTATTTATTATCTCTTTTTTTTCCATTTTTTTTTCGTCTTTTCACAACCCAATCATTTTTAATTACATCTTTTTTCACAATTTGTCTCCTGTTTTAATTTATCTATTTCTTTTTAAATTCATTTAGAAATAGTGATCTTTATTGTTGTTTCTGATACTATTTTCTTTACTTATTAATTTCTTCTTTCTTTTTTCTTTTGAAATTAAGATAAATGCAGAGAGAAAGAGGGGAAATGGGTTTATCTTTCGCAGTTCTCCCAATCGATTATATCAGCGCCGCTTGGCTTTCAGGCGTTTTAAAGTGCCATCCTCAAATGCCCGTGACGTTACCCCTCAAGCCAAGGAGCACTCTTTTATATCAGCAATAAGAATAACAACTCTGAAACGTGACTAGAAGCTTCTTTATAATTGACGTATTTTCCTTTTTAAATTTCCTTAGTCTTGAATTTAAAAGCACTTTCCCGACCTCAATTCAATTACATTTCGTCACCGTCGAAAATTCAATAAATTTTATTTTCAAATATCATCCTTCTCCTTTGGGAGGAATTTTCTAAAAAAAAACTCCAGTAAAAGATTCATTATCGTTCTATTTCTCTTATACTTGAAATATCGCTTGTCAGGGGAATAAAAAAACAAAACAAACAAAATCACAAAAATAAAAATACTAGACATTTTTAATAAATAAAAGTATTTTCTATTAATTAAAAAGAAATGAAAACAAATAATTTATTAAAATCTCTACAAAAAAAAGAGTGTTCTGTAAATAAATTGAGTTTTCAACTGTCTCTCTCTCTCTCTCTCTCTCTCTCTCTCTCTATAAAAAAAGAATTTATTTTCAACATTTCATTCCTTTAAAAAGTTTTGCTTTTGTATTCAAAGGGAAAACAATTCAAAGTCTCCCGATAAGCGTTAATTAAAGCCGCGTTGAATTGCCTTCACTCAGTGATTCGCGAATCTGCCTCTCGAATGAAAGTAAACCTTTGTATTAAGATATTCAACAATTTCTTTAGGATCTGACGAAAGTGAAGCAATTAGCGATTAATTAATGCAAAAAAAAAATCGACTAACCAAACGGGGAGGACTTTTACTTAAATTGGATGACTCAATGTTTGTTTATATAAAGAAAAACATTCAATAATAATGATAATTATATAAATTAGGTGTTACATAAAAATTACTACTGTTTTGTTATAACCTAATAATGGGTTTAAAAATATCAGTTTAAATATCATTATAACAGCTTACGTTAAGAAATGTTATTAATTAAGAGAAATTAGGCAACAGTGGGCCACTTTTTTCAAAAGAGGTTTTTTTCCGATTTCTCATACATATTTAGAAATAATGACGTGGCTCAAATAATTTTTTAGAAAAACGAAATGATCCATTGTAGACAGTGTTACCCACTGAAGACCACTCTAATTTTTTGGCTAATTTTAGTTTCTTTGAAATTACTTCTTAGAAAACTGAAATAGACCATTGTAAACACTGTGATCACTGATGCCCGCCCTAAAGTTTTGGATACCTTTTGGTTTCTTTGAAATAATTCTTCAGAAAATCGAAATAACCCATTGTAAATAGTGTGGCCCACTGATGCCCACTATAATTTTTCGCCTAGTTTTGGTTTCTTTGAAATAATTCTTCAGAAAACCGAAATAATCCATTGTAAATAGTGTGGCCCACTGATGCCCACGATAATTCTTCGCCTAGATTTAGTTTCTTTGAAATAATTTTCCAAAAAAAATGAAATAACCCATTCTAAACAGTGTGGACCACTGATGCCCACCCTAAATTTTTGGCTAATTTTAGTTTCTTTGAAATAATTCTTCAGAAAACCGAAATAACCAATTAGAAGTAGTGTGACCCACTGATGCCCACCCTAAATTTTTTGCTAATTTTAGTTTCTTTAAAATAATTTTTCATAAAATTAAAACAACCCATTGAAAACACTGTGATCCACTTATGGAATTCATATTTTTTGGCTAAATTTAGTTTTTTTTCAAATAATTTTTCATAAAACTGGAACAGTCCATTGTAAAAACTATGACCCATTGTTTTTTACCCTACAGTTTTGGCTAATTTTAGTTTCTTTGTAATAATCCTTTAGAAAACCGAAATAAAACATTGTAAATAGTGTAGCCCACTGATGCCCACCCTAATTGTTTGGATAATTTTAGTTTCTTTGAAATAATTCTTCAGAAAACCGAAATAACCCATTGAAAGTAGTGTGGCCCACTGATGCCCACCCTAAATTTTTTGCTAATTTTAGTTTCTTTAAAATAATTTTTCATAAAACTTAAACAGCCCATTGTAAACACTGTGATGCACTGATACACTGTAAAAAGAAGGTACTAAAATAGTACCGATTTTAGGTATTAAAATAGAACCAAAAGGTAATTTAGTACCTAAAGTTGGTATTAAATTAATACCTCTCGTTTTACAGTGTGGAATTCCTAATTTTTGGCTAAGTTTAGTTAATTTGAAATAATTTTTCATAAAACTGGAACAGTCCATTGTAAAAACTATAACGCATTGTTTTTTATCCTACAGTTTTGGCTAATTTTAGTTTCTTTGTAATAATCCTTTAGAAAACCAAAATAATCCATTGTAGACAGTATGACCCACTGATACCCATCCTAATTTTTTGGTTATTTTTTTGAAATAATTTTTGATAAAACTGGAACAGCCCATTGTAAAAACAGTGACCCATTGATGCCTACCCTAATTTTTTTGGTTAATTGCAGTTCTTTTGATATAATTCTTTAGAAAAAGGAAAATAACCTATTGGAAATAGTGTGGCCCACTGATGCCCACCCTATTTTATTGGCTAATTTTTGTTTTTTTGAAATAATTTTTCATAAAACTTAAACAGCCCATTGTAAACACTGTGACCCACTGATGGCCATCCTATTTTTATCACTGATTTTAGTATTTTTGAAATAATTTCAAACTGTGACCCACTGATCCCTACCCTATAGTTTTGACTAATTTTAGTTTTTTGGAAATTAATTTTCAAAAAAAACCGATATGATCCATTGTAAATAGCGTGGCCCATTGATACCGACTCTGATTTTTTGCCTAATTTTAATTTCTTTGAAATAATTTTCCAACAAAAAAAATGAAATAATCCATTGTAAACAGTGTGGCCCACTGATGCCCACCCTATTGTTTTTTTACTGTTCCAAAAAATGCGTAGTGACGAGATGGTTCAAATATAAAACTTTTTTCTTAAAAAAAAACAAGAAAAAGATAGAGAAAAAAAGAGAGGGGGGGATAATAAGCATTTGAGAACATATTATATATATATATATATATATATATATAGCGATTATAGGATATAGCAATGCCAAAGTAATTAGAGCGGCATTGATTTTAACGAGAAATGGATTTTCAGGTGAAGTCGAACGACTACTACGTCAGTATCGACAAAACCAGGAACTAGTACAAAATATCCGATCGCATTACTATCAGATCATCTATCCAGTGCAGCTTCGCCATCACGAGAAAATGGGGATATCCACAAGAGACGCAAGCGCTCCCAAGGTAAGCCACAAAAAAGAATCATACGATCTATTTTTTTTTTTTTTTTGCTTTTTTTTTGCAGAATATAAGGAATAGGAAAAAAAAAAAGAAAACCACCCCCTCGAGAGCATCACGCGATCCCCGTAATTTTATTTGATTTCCTTTATATTTTTATTTTATCCAAGAAAAGCAAGGACGATCACGAACACCGTCTTCTTCGAATATTATGTCGTCGTGATATATATATATATATATATATATATATATCTTTGATGAATTCTTCGATGTTCTTAAAAAAGTACTTTTCACTTTTTATTATTCCTTATTGAGGAACTCAATTTTTTTCCACAAAAAAAATTTTATTTTATAATTTATTTTATTGAGGTTTAAAAATTTATGATTATAGTAGTATTCGATTTTTTTTTAATTCTTTCACTAAATTAACAATTTTTAATAAATTTCAATTATTTATAAATTTTCAAAAATAATGAAATTTTGGCTGTTTTTTTTTAACTTGCACAATAATGATAACATATTTGTAATATAATTATCCTTTTTTTGCTATAGTTTAATTTTCGTTTTACTGTACTATAGCAAATTTTGATCAAGATTAAACTGCCATATTGCGTCCGCCATTTTGAATATTTCTGATCCATATCCTTTCGTTTTGACTAAGAATTTTCTCGTCCAAATTTACAAAAAATATTTTAATAAAATTCTTTTTCATCTTCTCAATTCATTTAAAAATGCTTCTGAAATTAAATTTTTTTTATCATTATCGTAAATAATTAAAAATTAGTTTTACTTTACTTATAATAAAAAAAAAGAAATCTATTTGATTCAAATAATCGGTTACTTGACTATTGTCAAATAAATATTTATTTGAACCAAAAATAATTTTTATTTGAATTATAAATAAACTGTTTTTGAATCAATAATTTTTGTATTTGAAACAAAATTTAATTGACTCAAAAAAAAAAAGTATTTAGTTCAAGGAAATATTTATTTGATAATAGACAAAGTAATGAATTATTTGAATCAAATAAATTTTTTTCAGTGTATTAATTACAATAGTTAAATTATTTTCTGAAAAATATATACTTACAAAATAAAAAAGTGAAAAACTATCCAAAGATTGGAAAAAATTTGATGAAAACCATTTGGTAACCAAAATTACTTCAAAAAAGTCAATAAATAATAAAAATGATAAATAAAATTTTTATCCTATTGATAAGAACAATAATTTTATAATTTAATAAAAATATAATATTATAATATAATAAAATAGATGATAAATAAATAAAAGTAATATATTTCTCAACAATATCGATTGTAATTATAGTTGAAAAGAAAAATTTAATTTATTTCAAAAATTAAATTAATTAAAAAATATAAATAAAAATTTGCCTGATCAAATAGTAAATAATTCTAAATAATAGGAATAATAATTCTAAATTTTTTTGAATTATTTGAATTATTAATTAAATTCAATTATTTTTTTTTTTGTACAGATAATGTAATTAAAATTTTTTAATAAAAAATTTCTTTTTCTTCGAGGAATCAATTTTGTTTTTTAAATTTTAGGTACTTGTTGAATTATTTGAACTGCCAAAAATGAAATTAAATATCTTTGAAATAATGTTGTATATTTTTGTAATATATTTTAATGCACTTGAAACAGTACTTAAACCCAATCGAAATGCAACGACAAATGGAGTAAAAATTGGAATCAATGCAATAATGTCTAATGCACAATTGCCAAAAATACTAAGCGTTGACGCACCACCAACAATTTTTCTCACACAATAATTTAATGGAATTATTCCTATTATTGAATTAACAATTATACCAATAATTTTATTAATTACAAAACCAATTAAAGAATTGCTATTATTAGAATCTGCCTCAGCCATAAGTTGTGTTGAATTCATTTTAGAAAAATATTTCAAAACAAAAATTTTCAAAATAAAAATTAATTAATAAATTATTTGTAAATAATTTTTTTACAAAAAAAAAATAAATTTTTAACAAATTTGAATAATTTGGTTACGTGATGAAGGTTTTCTTTTTGAATTACAATTTTTCTTCTGAAAAAGAAATTGAAAATTAAAATTATTGGTTAAAATTACACAATCGACATTAACATTTAATAAAATATTTAAAAAAAATTATTGAAAAAATAATTTAAATTTATAAAAACGGCTCTTTTTTTTCACTAATAAAAATAATTAACACGTTTTAAATGTTTGAAAAACAATTGAGAGATAAAATTTATTATTTTGATAATGGAAATTAAAAGAAATATTTTTAAAAATAAATTACAAATAATTTTTTTTGTAAATAAGTGAAAGTAATTGCAGAGTTCATTAAAATTGACGGAAATACAATTAAAAATAATAAAATAACATTTGCGCGGCAATTTGCGAACAATTAAAAAAAAAAAAAAAACAGTTGAAATGTTAATGACATTACTTTACTTTTTTTATATATAATTCTTGTGTGTTTTTTTTATTTTCTTTTTTCTTTAATTTAAGGAGTCATTCATTTGCATAAAATTGCTTTTTTTCACTCAATTATTTAAAGTTTCGTTATACCATATGCTGAAAAATGTGAAAATTCACTTTTAGCAAATTAAACAAAAAAAAAAATTCTTCGTAATAAATAATTCAAGTTGATTATTTACTGTTAAGTATAAAGTTTATATATAAACAACTAGTCCAAGTTTTGTTGTTGAAGAGTCACTGTATTATGATAAGTACGCAGCCTTTTTTTTCTAGATAACAAAATTTACATTTACATTCAAAATTCAAATGAATGACTGATAGGAAGTCTATTAAATCATAAATATTCTATTTTACTATATAGAATTTTTTTTTTCAATGTTATTTCATTAGAAAATATTTTTTTTTTAATTTTTGATAAATTTTATCATCTCAGAATTATTGAAATAAAAAATTTCCGATTAGAGTAATTTAAAATAAAAAATTAGAAAATTTAAAATGAAGAAAGTGTAAGAAACATTAAAAATTACAATTTAACTATTTTTTATTATTTTTATTAACAATAATTTTGAAATTAGAAAATGATGTATTAAAATATAATTTCAAGAGGCAAACAATAATAATAAATTACTACTAATAATAATAATAATAATTAGAAATTAATTACCCTTTAGTTCCAAAAATGTGTAAACTTTTTTTTTTCAACTTACAGTCGAAATTTATATTTTTTACAAATAAGTAGTTATTAGATATTGACGAATCGAATGCGAAACAAAAAGTGGATTTTCTTGTATGGGTACAAATTATTAAAGCACATACGTCACCAAAAGATAAACTGATAAATTCCCTTACTATTATATTTTCACTCATGGATAATAAATGTAAATTTTTTATTTACTTTTGAAATATTAATTTATTCAAACATATATTCATTTTATTAAATGATAAAATAATATTTACATTGAAATTCTATTTTTATCCTTAAATCTCGTTTTTGGTATTTACATTACAAAAAACGGATCAAAAATTAAAAAAATTAATTAAATATTCCCTAGAGAGTAAATTAAATTTAATTTACAAACATAAATTTTTTTTATGTTATCAGTTGTAATTGTAAATTTTCTATTTATTAATTAAATTTTAGATTTTTTTATTTTCTTTTTTTCCTTACTAATTTCCAAAAGAAAATGAAATGTCATATTGTAAACATAATAAAAAAAAGTTGAAATTTTTTTTTTTTTTGTTATTTAATAAAGAATATTGAATGTAAATTAAATATAAAACTAATTTTCCAGTACCCTCAAAGAGGTGGCTTCGGAGACAGCGGATATCAAAATGCTAGGGGAAGACCCAGAGTAAGTTTTAATAGCATTCGTTAGTTAAGTTTATACTGTGGAATATAGCCAATCTTTTACGTGGTATTTTATAAAAAAAAATTATTTTTTTTGTACTTACAGAGTGGAAGACACTATCATCGGACGTCCCTTTTAATCAAGGCCTTCAATCACAAATTTCGCCTAGACTTAGAGCTAAATACGTAAGTAGTTTTCACTTTTTTTTTTTTTCTATTGTGAGAAGAAAATTTTACAAAGAGGAAAAAAAATTTAATTGTAATTTAGTATCATATGGGAACATTATAGCGCCGTCGCTATTTTAGGATCTTACAAACTGATCTTGAGTTTAAAAAAAAAACCATTAGAACATGTGCCATTAGGATATTATAACCGGCTTTTAACGGTATGTTAAGAGTTCGTATTTTTGGGTCCTGGAGTTCGCATACCTTTACTCAATTTTATCCGTGTCATCGTCATTTATCATTTAGTTTTTTTTTGTTCACCGAAAAAAAGTCAGGAATAAATTTTTTATTCTGAAATACGATATGAAACTCAAGTTTTGAATATGAATTTTAAAATGAAAAATTGTTTGGTAAAAAAAATTTGCAGAACTTTAAATGAATTATTTTGTAACTTAATATGTGTATGCCAAATTGAAAAATCGTATAAAATCTGTGAAATTAATATTCCATCATAGAAATTTAAAATTGTACCTTTGGTAAAAGGAATTATATCTATTTAAGAGATATTAATTACATACTAAGAATTTAAGAATATTAATTACATATTAAAAAAGATTAGTGGAGATAAAAATTGACAATAAAAATTTCTAATCATTTTGAACCAATGGAGACTGTTTTTTCCCTAGAAATAAATAATCTCAAACCTTATGTCTAGGTTACAAACTAAGAATGAAAGTGAAAATGATGAACAGACTTTATCATAAATGAATTTTAAACAATAGTTATAGTGTGCTAACAAAAATAGCCCTGGTTAAAATTTTGGACTGATTTCAGATTAAATACATACAGTCTACATTAGTTTTATACGCAAACAATCTGAAAATGATCCGTATTAGTCAGCAATTAATCTGGATGAAAAGATTAATCCATGATCAGTTCGGAATAGTCTAAAATTGAAATGAAATAAATCCGCAATTAGCCTACAACAATTTGATTTTAGTTACATCAAAAAAACAATCCAAAATCTGTTCAGAATAATGCAGAATTTATATGTAAACTATCCGCAAACAGTACGTAACAATTATTATTAAGTACTGTCAAAAAACTGAATTCGACATGAGTCCGTAATAATCTGAAATGTTTATGTGAAAAATCGTGGTATTTATTGGTAATTGGTAAGTGGTATTTATTTGTAATTGAAAAATATTTTTTGGCGAAATTCTGAGCTATATAATTTTCGTTTTATTTAACTTACAAGTAATACAATCCAAAATGAGTCCAAAATAATTCAAAATTTTTATGTAAACTATCCTCAAACAGAACGCAACAATCCGGATTAAGATCTGGTAAAAAATCCTCATCCGAAATCTATCCGTAAGAATTCGGAATTATTATGTACTAAATCATTAGTCGCAGTCTGAAAAAAAATCTTAATCAGAAAGAACTCCGAATTAGTGGACAATCTATATGTAACAAATTCCGATTTAGTTAGATCTAAACTCTTACTTGAAAATCTGTATGTAAAACAATTTGGTATTAGTCCACAACAATGATGATTTTGTACATATATAAATTGGGGATTTTTCCGGACTCAATTTGGATTAAGATATGTGATACCAGATTAAGACCGGATTATTGCTGACTAGTACCAAATTTCTTGCTTACAAATTCCGAATTATTCCGGACTCATTTTAGGTTAAGTTTTTTTATCGACCTAGATGAGTGAAGATTTTTAATTTCGGGTGGAAGTATGTTTGTAAAGATGAAACTTAAAGGAATTGACGAAAGGGACAATACCAAGAGTGAACCATGTGGCATAATTTGACTCAATATGGAAGATTTCACCAGACCCGGATACTGTAAAGATTTACAGATTGAGGACTCTTTCTTGATGACCGCACTTAGTTGGTGCAAAGCGATTTTTCCTATTAATAATAATTCCGATAACGAACGATACTTCAATCTGTTAAATAGGCGTACCTTATTGGTATCTTAAAAGTCCTGAGCCTCAATCGGTGGGTTTTTACTACCAAAACTTCTTAGGCGGACAGGCGGCTTCTAATCGCACGAGAATGAGCAATAACAGGTATGTGATTCCTTTTAGGTGTTCTGGAAACGATAGACTAAAGGAATCAGCATATTTTCCTAAGCCAAGAGGCTCAGAAAACCCACTGAACTTCCTTCGTGCTAGGGATTGTGTCTTTATTTATTAGTTAGTGGAAGTCATAAGCGTTGATACACCCAATTGCATAAATGATGTCCTTCCTTCCGTCTTCTGAGACGGTATTTCGAAAAGTCGTGACACTTATAATATAATAATAATTTTATTAGTGTACACATTGGTTACATCATAAAACAATAAAAATATTATAGAAGTGTCATGACTTTTCAAAATATCGTCAAAATGAAAGGACAGAATTTATGCAATTGGCGATTGAATGATTTAGTGATAACTTCGGATTGGTGCGTGATAGTGTTTCGGCATTGCCGAGGAAGATGACCAAACTTGAACATTTAGAGGAAGTAATTGTTGTAACATGATTTCCGTTAGTGAACCTGCAGAAGGATTATTAATGTATTGCAGTTAAAATGTACACTTATGGAAGCATCGTCTATTTCACATATAAATTTAAACACGTCATATTTATTATCGTGATGTTTGTCTGCAAATAAAATTGTCGAACCAGCCGTCAGTGTTAGCGATTATTTCGTTTATTGTTCTAGACAATAATGTGTTTAATCTCGTAACAGACCGTCATTGCAGGGGTTGAAAGGAAAAGTGCAGTTGGTGGATCGAAAAGTAACTTTTGGAATCGGATTTGGATTGTCTTACCTGGTAAGAAGAGGTTTGTTGAAAGATATGCTTTTGGTGACAGTAGCACCGAATCCTAAGAAAACCAGTAAGAAGAAAGCAACGATTAGATCTACAATAGGGATCCGAGTCGTAACAGGAACAACGTATGCCGACGTACTAAGCAAACTTCGAAGGAAAGTGAATCCGGACGCAGGTCACAGGGTTTGTAACATGTAGGTCGAGGGTACAAGGCCTAAAAGAAAGGGAGATCTCCTGATCAAAATCGGAGGAGAATCCAATAAGGAGGCATTCATTGCTGAGGTTACCAAAATGGTTGGAAGCATGGGGAAGGTATAGATCGTGGATCGACAGGTCACATTGGAAATCCGACGTACTGAGCAAACTTCGGAGGGATGTGAATCCGGACGTTAGCCACAAGCAGGTCTTAGGTGCAAGGATACAAGAAAGGGAGATTTCCTGATCAAAATCGGAGAACACTCCAGTAAGAAGGCATTCATTGCTGAGGTTACCAAAGTGGATGGAAACATGGGGAAGGTGCAGATCGTGAATCGACAGGTCACATTGAAAATCCGACGTACTGAGCAAACTTCGGAGAGAAGTGAATCCGGACGTAAGCCACAAGCAGGTCTTAGGTGCAAGGATACAAGAAAGGGAGATTTCCTGAACAAAATCGGAGAACACTCCAATAAGGAGGCATTCACCGCTGAGGTTATCAAAATAGTTGGAAGCGTGGAGCAGTTGCAGATCGTAGATCGACAGGTCACATTTGAGATCCGCGACTTGGATTGCCTTACCCAGGAAGAGGAGATCCAATAGGCGTTGGCGGAAGTGCTCCAGAACCCAAGCAGCAGGAAGGTGACAGTCCTAAAACCCATCCGACGAGGAATGAAAAAAATTCCTTCTGTTAAATTCATGTCTAAATTGAATTAACCATTGAATTAATTGTAGTGATCCCTCCAAGGGAATTTATAAAAAAATATAATTGCCTTTATTTTTAAGATTCGAATAAAAAAAAATATGTTATCAAAACATTGTTGAGAAGGAGATATAAAAACTGCAAATGAATGCTACGTGTTTAGGAGAAAATTCCCATCGATATAAATCGGAATTTTATTGCTGACTGAGCAGTTATTTCCGATATTTCGAAAGCAATAAAATAGCTTGAGTAAGCAATATTTATTGCGAGGACAGTTCAAGTTCCACAAGCTAATCTTGTGAAATTCTTCAATACAAAATATATGATATTCTTTACATATAATATTGCGTGTATATTTATGTTTGTTTTTTTAAAAATTCAATATACATAAATAAAATTTTATTTACTCGTCATAAAATAAAAACTCTTTTTTTGTTTGATTCAAAAAAAAATTTATATTTAACAAAAATCGAATAAAAATTAGTTTATGTAATCTACTGAAATAAATGTAATTAATTAAACTACTGTATTTTTGTGATCTTTGCAGTTAGAAATATGACTCTAGACTCGAACATTGTAATATTATATTTACAATATATTTTTCCAAACAAAGTCTTTATTTTAATAATGGGTATGAAGTGTTTATTCTCTGCTAAAAAAAATTACTATTTTTCCAAGAACTTGAAAAATGAAAATGTTTACATAAATAATAATAGACTATTGTTATCATTTAATTGTATAAGAAAAGATATGGTTAAGGAAAAAATTGAATTTTTATTAATAATTGTATTTTTCAATATGATAAACGTAGTATGTATATGAAACAATGGCTTCTATTTTACATGTCAATTTTATTTAAAATTAAACTCAATATTATCGAAAAAAAACCGGTTGAGTTTGTCAATTTAAAACTTAGTATTCTTTACAATTGAAATAATTCCACAATTGAAAAACAATTTTCATTAGAAATGAAAAATAACAAAATGTCGTAATTAAAAATGAATTCCCACGAATCTAAATAATCTACTATAACTAATTCTAAATTTTATTTTCCTTTTTTATTATATTAATTAATTTTTATTTTTCATTCTCAAAAAAAAATTAAAAGCTTTTTTGGCAACTTATTAATTACGCTCAATATATATTAATAAAAAAAATAAAGAAATTGCTGAAAAACTAAACGAGAAATACATCAGGAAAAGAGGAAAAATGTGAATTCGTTGCCTCGGAAAAAAGCTCTGAAAAATTGAATTTTACTTGAAATGGAATATAATTTCAAATATACGACTTGATAGCGTTTTCTCTTAAATAAACATGCATTAAAACTTACATTTTTAAGAGTAGAGTTTATTCGTTTTTTATTTGCTGTTTTCCACTCGACATTCATGTTCCTTAATGGATCGAAGCTTTTAGAGAAATATTAAGTAATGAAAGAAACAATTTTTTTTTCTCTTCGTTTGTTTTCATATATATATATATATATATATACCCGAACCTCACAAATAACATTGCATATTATATATGTTTCAGGCAACTTTTAGCACCGAATTTGATTCAAAAAGACTTTTTAGTTGAGAACGCGGAACAAGTTGCAAAACAGGTAATAACAATATTATATTAATTACATAGTTTTTTTACAAAACATTTTTTCGTAATTTTTTTGTAAACATAAAATTACTGGTTTCATATAAAATTTAGAAAATTCAATATTTTTTAATTAATAAAAGTTTTTCCATGAGTAAAATAAGGAAAATATGTTTAAAACTACCTGAGTGAATATGAATATTTCTAAAAAGAAACAGGGTTGAAAAATATTGGTTTTTCTATATTTTTTTAATTTTTACAAAAAATATATTTTTCTATTTAAAATTTTAAATACCTTCAATAAATCGTGATAGTTTATTTAAATAATAATGAAATATAAAAATAAAACATTAGCTCCTGTTATATCTCAGTTTACATCAATTTTTATATAAAATAAAAATCTTATTCAAAGGATTCTTGTTTACCATTAAAAACTTTGATTGTACAGGTCAATGTCAGAATTTTAAAAAATCTGTTTTCTCTTTGTCAAAAAAAAAAAAAAAATTATTCAAATTCTTCACTTGCAGAAGCGTTCTTCGTTAATGCTTTTACAAGTTGGAAAATCCATGGGCTTTGCTAAAAGTTGGCAACTTTTGTCACACAAAGGATACATACATATATAAGAATTGTAAAATATGAGAAAATGTCGACTTTTAACTAGAAAAGTAAACTTTGAAATATAAATTTCCCAAGCTAAAAATGGAAAAAAAAGATATCAAAAAAAAAAAAAAAAAAAAAAAAGAAAACACATAGAAGGTAAAAATATCTGCAATGGAAAGTTGAGCACATGGAGAACATTGTCATATTCATAAAAGTTTTCACGCAGCAGTTATTTTTAGTGAAAGCGAAAGACTGTTTAACGTCGACAAGAGAGCGAGCGGCGTAATCTCGATTTTTATATTTTATACGTAAAAAGGTATATAAAGGAGCGCGCCAACCTCCCTGGACCATTACCATAATCAATGCAGGAAAAATCTTGCTGGAACAGCAACGAGAATATGATGCAAAACTAGTTGAACTTTTTCCTTCTCTCACTCACTCTCTCCCTCTCTCTCCCTCGCAGACCCCATTACACGCTTTTGAAAAATAAATTAAGCTTCATTTTCCGGTAATTCGCATAACAGCTTTTAACTAGTACCGCCACCACCGTGTCGCCGACTAAATTGTTTCCCTCTTCTCCTCCTCCTTTTAAAATTAGTTTATTTAATACCCTCATCGATGCAAGAGGCATTTTTTTCCCTTTTTTACTAAATTGGCCAATATTCGTCATCAGTAATGGAATATCGATGTATAAAATGGATATCGATATGTTCACCTGGGCTCATTTTGATCCGCAGCAAAAATGAACCAATGCTAAAAGACATAGAATGTGGCGCCACCTACTTGACTCATTTTTTGCTGCGGACCAAAATGATCCTGCTAGCTAGATCATTTTGAGCCCGGGTTTTTATTGTGAACTCAAAATATAAACCCAAACAGCACAACCATGTAAAGTCAATTCTATAAAAGAAAATTATGAATTGAAATTATCTCTTATGATAAAGATGATAATGAAAGTAGATCAAACCGTAATTAACTTAGATATAATTTATTATGAATACTGATTTCTGATATTAAAAAAAGAATAAATGCAAGTTTCATGTGAATTATTTAATTTAAATTTTTATTAATTTTTCCTAATCTAGGAACTTATAATTATTCCCCACTCTAATTCCTCAATTTAATTTAGTTGGAGAAATTAAGTTGGGCCAGAGGTTATTAAATGAATGAACATAATTAAATAAAAGATTATTTATTTATTATAAGAATGATATTTTCTTGACAATTAATATTTGTTTAAATGAACAATCATATAATCCTTGTTTTTATAAGGTTTTGTATTATTACTTTAATACGTGTATTGATGGGTCTCCAATTATCTTCTTATAACACTTGATCACCTAAGATTGGATCTTCTATGGAAATTTTACGACCGCTCGTAAAAATTGTTTTTATTGCTTGATAGACACTGGTACCCACGAAAACTTAAACTTTTGAATGTTGACACTTGCGTATATATATATATATTTGTAGAGTAAGGATTTTCCCTTCCGGAATGTTTAATAATAAGTTGAGAAAAATTCGATCCTTGGAAGGAATAAAATAACATAAAAAATGTATGTTATTAATATTGTTTATTGTCACAAAACAAGAAACGACGTTTCAATGACTTGGTTCGTCATCATCTTCTGGTTAAATCTAATGAAAATATTTATAATTTTATTTATAACACCACATTATCTTTTTTTTCTCAAATAATAAAAATACACAAGTAATAACAATTACCAATAATTAGTTGAACCGTTACATCTTTGCGTTAGAAAATTTTATTTTGCTCAGATTAAGCTGGCACGTCAGGTTTATAGACCAGTATCGTCATGACTAAATTGAAAATACAAAATTTAAAATCTAAATGAAATAGAGGAGTCAATGAACTTAGATGTAAACAGCACGTGGAAGTGAAATATTTTCAGAAAAATAGAATCACGAGTCTAATTTGGAAATTAAAGGAAAGTATATTTTGTTTAGATACATTATGTCTTCTTTTTTATTAATAGTGGAATCATTAATTTTTATGTGTAACATTTCTGAAAAACATCGTTTTTTATAATTTTGTTCACGGTCTAGTATAAGAACATTATCCCAGTCAAACTCATGATTCAATTCTGATCGATGTAATCCAACTACTGATTGAGCAGATGTTTTATTTTTAATATTTTTATGCTCATTAATACGTGTTTTTAATGAACGCTTAGATTCTCCAATGTAATTCGCTGGATAGTTTTTACAATTAAATTTATAAACAATGTTCGTTTCATCCCACTTGTCAATAGGATCCTTACCTAATTTTATAATAGATCTTAAATGTTTATTAACTATTGGGATAGTATGTATATTGTATGTTTTTAGAATTTTTGACAATCTAATGAAATTTGAGTTATTATAAGGTAACATTATATTACTTTGGATATAATTTATTAGGAATACTGATTTCCTAATTACAATAATAATGATACCAATCATTAAATATTAAAAAAAACGAATACAAGACTACTCAAGGTCAGGATAATTTGTGTGGGATAATTCAAAACTGTTCCGCGCCACTTCACGTGTTAAAATAAAAGTAAAGGGAACAATTAGTTGAATGCGGAACGATTTAGATATATTAAGTGTAATTAGGAAGAGTCTTGTGTATCACTCCTCAGGTAGTGTAGTTAAAGAATTACAGATCAGTGGATGTCTCGTCGAATGATATGAGAATTAAAATTCATGAGTGTATGTAATTAATTTATTTTAATGACTTACGGGAAAGATTCCCAAAATTCCTTTGAAGTATTCCAAGGGAATCATCCACTAGAACATCGTGGAAACTTTCCTCTGGAATATCAAGGGAACCCTCTTCTAGAATATTAATGAAATCCTCCACCAAAATATCAAAAAAAGATTTTCTTCATAAAGTCATCAAATATTTGTAATTTAGTAAAATGGTGGAATAATAGTAAATCTAATTATACACTTATGTCGAGATATTTATCAAGATCAGCTACGACTGAGCTGGTTCCTTTTTGAAAAATATAATTTTCCTTCTCTAGATTAATCCATTTTTGGGTTTTGTTATAAAATAACCTGGCGTCATTGATTTCATTAATAATTAAAAATCCTAATCAAATAATTGATTCTTTAATTAAATTAAATCAGAAAATATGAAAAATAACTATTTTCTAATGTTTTTAAAACATAAGAGCATAATTTCCATCTGTTTTCATGAGTAACGTGTTTTCTATTTGCTTTCACAAATAACAAGTTTTCATTTAGGATCCATTGATCTAACATGACTAATATTAGTCCAGTAATAGCAGCCAAAGTCGGGCAAACTGAGCCAGAATTTGCGTTTATATCATTCCATCTCTCCGCCAGTATTGGCATTGATTCATAGTTATTCAAATGTACGTACCTAATTATATACCAAATCTCGGTTCAATGCTCAATGTCCATTTAACAAAATTCAGGGAAAAATGAGATATAATGAAAATTGTACTTCAATTTGAATAAAATATTTCGACTGTTTAAAATCTAATTCAATTAGCGATTCTAAAAAATTTTAAGACTACTATAATTTTTGTTGTAAGTATATATATATCATATCAAATTTTCAAAATATTAAAATTTCATACATAAAAATGTTCAACAAAATTTCAATCACATTTGCTTTTCGCAAAAGAGAATTAAATAGAATGTTACATTTATTCATTTTATATACTTTATATTCTTAAATATCAAATGAAAGCTAAAATCATAAACTGATATGCATTGAAACAGAAGTATCGATAGAGTTTAATTTGCTGCTTCCACTGAAATACATTTTGCATATAATTTAACTTGATTATTGAAGATTGTTCAACTTTACTGAACGCCCACAAAATGCCTACCATAATATATCGCTGCTAAGCGAACTTCAAAGGAAACCCACTCTATGGAACTGGAGCCCAACGCAGTAGTTTAAGTCTTGCGATTGCAATTTATTTATACAAGCAACTTCTTTTTAACTGGAATTTTTTTTCTAAAAAGTCGTATTCCCTTCCAGTATGACAAAAAGTATATAAATATTTTCTACTTCTTAAATCAATTTCATGCGTTTACCTAAATAAAAGATGTCAATCTGTTTTTATTATCATCCAGAATGACAGCACAAGTTTATATCAAGCAGATAGAAATCTTTGTCGACCTGGTTAGCAGTCGAAGTTTTTATTTAAATCCGTATAAAATTCTAGTTTAAATCTGTGTTGGTGCTAAAAGTGCCATTTCAGTGACGATGATCGTTTCGCTTTTCGATACTTGAAAAGCCTTGCCTAACTTTGCCATTACTCCTCAAACTGTTTTGTGGAGAAATACTTTTGTTAAAAAAACATTTAGGATTATATCTCATTTTGTATAAATGTTTAGTTATAAATCGTTGATGTGATCATCCAAAACCTT